TAGACAAACACCTAGGGGACTGAAGTGTCAAGACAGTTCCATTTAAAATCCTTTTGTTAAAACCCTTGGCATTCAAGCTTTTCATTCTTGGGTCGCACATGTATTTTCATTCCACTGGATGAAGATCACAGTGGGTGCTTCTGGGTACGTCAGTTAAGTGATTTTGTGTCTGTGTGTGGTTTTGTCTGATTCATGTAATGTGCTGATATAGTCTCTGTAGCCGCAACGTTCACTTTTCGTTTGTGTTCGTCATATTGTGAAACTCGTTGATCTACCTTTCGTTCGGTTGTTGCATCTTTCCCTAACCTCTCTATCTAGTTCTGTCATCTTCTATGAATATGCTTCCTATATATTTGTCCTTTTGGTTTTTGTTTGATTATAGTACCTTTGCAGTGCAATTACATATCCATAAAATAGGACATATTTTTAAAAAATGACATTTCTGTAATAAGCCCTACGACTATTTTTCAGAACCGACTTTAATATTAGACTTGGTCTCATTTTTTGGGTAAGTACGGCAGTTGTTTATCATGGACTCACTTTCCCTGACTGTGGGTAGAGGACTCAACTATAATGACAATAACAACGCTTGCCCATTCAGTAGGGTCACTGCCAAGCAAAAAAAAGCAATGGCAAACTATTGTCTTAAAGAAACCAAGGATGATACGATTTTACAGCTTCGGGTCATCATCATCATGTAGCAGGTCATTTGCAGAACGTCGCTCTCATCACGGTCTGCATGAAAAAAACTCGGTCTCTCGCCAGTTCTCCTGCCTCATGATACTTTCATACTCAAGGAGTCACTTATATCCTGTGTCCATCTCCGTGTCGGTCGGCCCCTGCCCCTCCTTCCTGGTACCATGCCTTCTGCTATAGTTTTTTTCCAATGCGTTGTGGCGCTTGATATGACCAAAATATTTCAGCTTCGGGTACACAGCGTATATTGGTGTTTCATAAAAGCAGTGTGGCTTGATAGGGGTTTGGCCATAAGGATAGGGCAAAAAAGTGCACTGACCTGATCTGGACGCATCAGATGGCGAAACATGACATCCTGCGCAATTCGGCAGGGCACATGATGGGATGATGAGCATTTAACCAAAACGGAGCACCGTACTCGTTGCTAGTTAACGCCTTCTAGCGTCGGGTCATATGCTAATTACAAAGTTCACAGTGACTTCAAAATGGTTCTTCAAATCAACAGAAGAAAGACTCGTAGGTACACATAATGTCTGTCTATTCAAAACAAAACGTTTGCATATTTATAAGTTCATTTGATGCTTCATCATCACCAGCAAATAACAATATAATTCACTGGAATGTGTTTTCGTGTTCTTTTGTCAAACAATGGCTATGTTTGGTTCAAATTAAATGTTTCAGACAGTTAATAATTACAAAATATTTCATTTCAATTTTCTCACTCACGCTCTGAGTAGAACTATTTTACTGTCTTAGTGGTTCTTACACAAACTGTCTCTTTGACAGTGCCGCTGGCATATCAGACCTATGATGCTAGGCTCATAGTTTCAAAGGACCACTCCAGCTGCCTTTATTATTTTGGTAATGCCATCCATTTTTAGACTGGGTCGACATAGAAGCCAAGGTCAGTTATGACAGAAAAAGGATTCGACTTTATGGGATTTCAAACCTGAGCCTAATACCTTCTATCTAGTAGGCGAGCCACAACTCCATAGCAGCTCCCAAACTGTTTGACACCCGTACAATCAAACGGACACGTTTCAAGCGACTTCAACGTCCCTACTGGCGTAGGACTGCAGGTGACACCTGGCTCTTGTAACCTTAGGGTAACCTGATAATTGCTTTTTTGGAGGTTGAAGGGGGTATCTGGGATTTACCTTGTTGGTCTGTCGTCCAGAGTGAGATTCTTTAATCTCAGGATGGTATAGTCAACTTGTAATTAGTAGAACAGAGTTGACAGGCTAGATCAAGTGTCCTAAGCTGATACATTTGTGCATGGAATAAAGTTGGGTTCTCCATAAAACTACAGCCACTTATTATGCACGTATTTTGGCGGCTGGAGGAGTACTCCGGAGTTCAGTCCCCTGGCCGCATTGCAAATTACGGAGTGGAAAAGGCACGAATCACAAAACAAAGTTATGTCGACATGGCTGGTAGACCACGCGCTGTGACTCAAATTAGCGACCGCGTTCTTGCGACGCAAGACTTAGTGACCGTGGTTGCGGTGGCTAGCTGAGCCACAAGCAGCACATTTTTGGCCATTATTTGCAACTCCTGTGTCAAAATTATCAGATATAGCGGCCGTCATTATGGGTAAGTTCTCCCTGTTACATGTGTTACCCTAACCCTAACCCTATTATGACAGCAGTGCTATCGCCAATTGTTTCGTTCCCACTGTTCCACTCCGTAATTGCAATGCTGCCAGGAGACTGAACTCCAGCAATAAGTGCATAATAAGTAGCCTTTTACCTTTTGATGAAATGTGGTTTCTGGAATTGGAGGTGGTGGGAAAAGGGGGGAGGGGGGGTTGGAGAAAATAAATCCTGTCTTTGTAAACTGGGCACTGAACCCCTTGACTGCTGTCTTTGAAGAATCAAACTGACATGGCTTCCTTGGTTCGCCAGTCCTTTAAAATTCTCCAACATTAGGCAAGATAGGCTTTCCTGTGTAGAAGATATGGGGATGGCTGCTCTCAAGCTTCCAGTTTCTGTGTAGAGTACTGGCAAGGAATCAAACTTGTAATTGATCTTAACTGTAGGCATCAACTCTGGGCTCAGGCACCTTGAGCCACGGCCTTCCGTCCCCCCTTATTGGTTTTTGTTTGGGATCAGAGCACCCCCGTTTCCCTCTTCACAACCAGTTATAAATATTCTCTAACATTAAGCATATGTTTATTCATTGAAAATTATTTCAGAATTTTTTTTTTTTTTTTTTTAATTTGCCAGTCGGTAAACAGCAACAACAATAATAATAAAAGTCCACTCCATTTAGATCCCTACCAACTAGACAGTGAACAAGACAACTAAACAGTGAACAAGACAATTGAATGGTGAACAAGACAGTTAAATGGTGAAAAAGACAATTGAATGGTGTTGCATCTGAACACTGCCCAAAGTGTTTACTCTGTCCCTGAATGAGAAAGGTTTAGCAAGCCTTTATCTGTAGCATTCAATAACACTTTTATTGATTTTCCTGCATTGATCCTGACACCTTCAGTACTGTAGTGTTATTGGAAATGATCCAACTAATGTAAGATTATGAAAACCTGGTCTGAAGTCAACATTTAATAATCAGGTCAACTGGAATGTATCCAGAAAGTTAAATGTGCTATGTTTGCTGAAGTCAGTGATAACCGGGACTGAGTGTTTCTGTTTGCCAGGTTATACTAGGTGGTATGTATCAGATGGCTTGATATTCATTCATTATTGCAGTCTTTTATTTCATAAATAAATACATTTATACTTGCCATTTTGTCTCTTCTTTTTTGAAGACTAGACATGATATACACAGTTTATAAGATCAACCCTTTTGGTGGCTTTCAGGACACTTGTGCCTGTGCATTAGTCTTGGACTCTTCAGGTGCTACTCAACAGTGTGTGAGAGGATAACTGTTACATATAACATAACATAACATAACATAACATAACATAACATAACCCTTGATCTGGTAGGATCTTGGAGGTGTATTGATGCAAACACTAGCTCACAAAACTGGCCATCTTTCTCTGTCTTCTACTTGTTGAAGAAGTGTATAATAACATAGTCCTGTAAATTTCTTGATGTTGTCAATCCAGACTTTTCTTTGCTCCTCTCTTTTTTGACTACCTCCAATGTTACATATGCATAAACTCAGATGCCAAGTTGGCTATAAGCCAGGTTTCTCTAGTACGATTAGGTTAAACAAGAGATCATATCATTTGTTGTTTGATGCATATACACAGCGTGTGTGTGTGTTGTCCATCAAGATGATGATGACCACTCTTTTTTCATCAAGTACGAGTACAAAGATGACTGATGGGGCTGATGCAGGCTCGAAAAGTTCTTGGACAGTGAGGACAGGGACTGAGAATGAAAGAGTGACTTGAGCAATGACTTGGATTAAAGTGAGGAAGAGTTGCGCAGTGTTGACCTCACTCTCTCGCCTGAGTCATATCTGGGTCCAGTGGCAAGACAGAGTCAAGACGACTGGAGACACGTCTAGGTGCAGTGGATGACCAGGGCGTTCTACATGCTTTGCCATGCTCTTTGTGCTCCACAGCGCTTTGCTAGTGTCGCCGTCTTGCCCATTGAACTGATGTGGTTTTCTCCGTGCATTCTGCTGACAGTAGTCTTTGCATGCTTGGAACGGCAAATCATAACTCACCAATAATTTAAAAAAAAAAAAGCATCGGCTACCCTCACCTGGTTTTGCCGGCCTGTCAAAGCCGTTGCCTGGGTGATGGTCGCTGTCGCATGCTGACAGCTAGGTGGAGCCACAGGTGAGAGCTGAGTGTCAGTTATAGACCAAAAGTTGTCCTAGAAAGGACATGACAGGCTTCCCAACCAGAGGTACTACCAATAACTGACACCCGATACCCTCCATACACAATATGTACACAATATATACACAATCCTGGAGCACACATGGCACATTCATTGCAACTGAAAAAGTTAGGGCATGGCATCAAAGTTTTGGGCATACCCATAGATGCTCCGTCTCCCACAGCAAATGTCTTAATGTGTAGATGTTGACTCGTCTAGAAGCACACTGGTTGTACATACATCTTACTCTTCTTTCTCATCCTTTATTGCTGGATCCACAATTTATTCCAAATTCACACAACCTTACACATGTTTGAAAGTACGGCAACACAACACACATGAACCTTTGTAATTGAAATGGCTTACAACAGTTATGCAGTTTTTGCTTGTTGTATTACCAATCCAGATTCCACTGCATTTATTGTGTATGACCAAGGATTAGTATTTTGTAGCTGAATTTCTCATACAGGGGATAGCCTGTACACTGTCTGGCTGTTGCAGGAATGAAGAGGATTTTGAAACCATCTATTGGCTATCAAATACAGACTCTTGACCCGGTGAGAATATGTCTTTTTGTTTAGTGCTTATATTTTTTCAATGTATTTATACATAGGTTTTATGTTTGTATGTGATTTCTAAAAAAAAAAAAAATATATATATATATATATATATATATATATATATATATATATATATATATATATATATTATATATATATGATATATATATATATATATATATATATATATATATATATATATATATATATATATATAAAGTTTTCACTCTGTTCCTTATTTAGAATCAGTCAAACCATATCAGAAAAACTAGATTATTTTCAGACAGTGCGTGAAAGCTAATTAAAACCATAAAAATTCAGTCAAAGTGGCACAGATACTGATATAACTATGATTTCTTCATGTCCCCAGTTGCCAGAGATAAACAAACCTCACAGTCACCATAAACCCATAAACTTACGATTATACATCAATGGAGACCAGTATTTCCCTGGCAAGAAGATAAACATCACCCCTGACCGATACACCAACTTTAACGAATTTCTTGGTGACCTAACAAGAAGATTAGTACCTGGTGTCAAGTTGCCTCATGGGGTCAGGCAGATCTTTACGCCCATCACTGGCAGGAGGGTCTTTGACCTTGATGACCTGTCTGACGGAGAGATGTGTGTATGTGCTGGGTTTGAGGGATTTAAAATGATGAAGTATGGACAGTCTCAGCTACAGCCATGGTCACTAGGTGAGTCTGTTTTATTGCTGATGTTTTGTTAACTCTTTGTGTCCTAAGTTTGTTGTGCATGCTAACAGGACATTGCAAACCCAACCCCAGCATTTCTTTCTGGCTGTTTGACTAAGCCATTTCATGTTCAGTAGTTTTCATTTTTGCTGAATTGTCCATGCTCCACACCATTAGCACATTTGAAGCAATGCTGCCAGATAGCAAGCAGCTGAAGTGAACTAGACAGCCAAGGTAGTGTAGCAGTTGAAGTGAACTAGACAGCCAAGATAGTGTAGCAGCTGAAGTGAACTAGACAGTTAAGGTGGTGTAGCAGCTGAAGTGAACTAGACAGCCAAGATAGTGTAGCAGCTGAAGTGAACTAGACAGCCAAGATAGTGTAGCAGCTGAAGTGAACTAGACAGCCAAGATAGTGTAGCAGCTGAAGTGAACTAGACAGCCAAGGTGGTGTAGCAGCTGAAGTGAACTAGACAGCCAAGATAGTGTAGCAGCTCAAGTGAACTAGACAGCCAAGGTTGTGTAGCAGCTCAAGTGAACTAGACAGCCAAGGTGGTGTAGCAGCTGAAGTGAACTAGACAGCCAAGAAAGTGTAGCAGCTGAAGTGAACTAGACATCCAAGGTGGTGTAGCAGCTGAAGTGAACTAGACAGCCAAGGTGGTGTAGCAGCTCAAGTGAACTAGACAGCCAAGGTGGTGTAGCAGCTGAAGTGAACTAGACAGCCAAGATAGTGTATCAGCTGAAGTGAACTAGACAGCCAAGATAGTGTAGCAGCTAAAGTGAACTAGACAGCCAAGGTGGTGTAGCAGCTGAAGTGAACTAGACAGCCAAGATAGTGTAGCAGCTCAAGTGAACTAGACAGCCAAGGTGATGTAGCAGCTGAAATGAACTAGACAGCCAAGGTGGTGTAGCAGCTGAAGTGAACTAGACAGCCAAGGTGGTGTAGCAGCTGAAATGAACTAGACAGCCAAGGTGGTGTAGCAGCTGAAGTGAGCTAGAGAGCCAAGGTGGTGTAGCAGCTGAAGTGAACTAGACAGCCAAGGTGGTGTAGCAGCTGAAGTGAACTAGACAGCCAAGGTGGTGTAGCAGCTGAAGTGAACTAGACAGCCAAGATAGTGTAGCAGCTGAAGTGAACTAGGCAGCCAAGGTGGTGTAGCAGCTGAACATTCAGCCTGAAGATCGTGGGTTTGAATCCATGTCAAGCTGATTTGTAACAATTGACCTTGGCTTCCAGGTTGACCCATCCTAAAATGGGGACCATGTAATGTCCTAGAAAGCTATGGCTATCATCATTATGTTGACCACATCACCTGACGAGGGCCGACTGGTTTTTAAAAATATGCATCAAGCTTGATAATATGCGAACAGGAAAAGAGTTCTTTACCTTCTTAGTGAATCGAACCAGGTATTTCAGATTTACAAAACATGTTCACAATGCCTGTCTATCCTAATTAAAACTAAAGCTTAATCTGTTTGTCAGTGTATATCCAGCAATAAAGATTGTTATGTAATATTTTATCATTGGTCGCATTGTACTGAAGAAATCTGGCTAAATACTGTATTTTAACTCACAACACAATGAATAATGCATTTTTTTTAAAGAAATGCTCGTACTTTGTTGATTCTGTTCATTTTACTCCTGAGCCAGTGTTACTAAATTTTATGATACTTAACTCTTTTAGCCGCAGGCAGTTTTGAACTTAACAGGGTCTATACTAACATTTTTGTATTTTTTGACAACAATTCTTACTCTGATAGAAACTGAAACATAGCTTCAGAACAGAAAGTATTATAGAAACAACTGGAATGTCAGGTGTTAGTATAACAAAAGAATGGGATAGGGAAAATAAAGCAATGTAAGTCATATAAAGATTAATAGACGAACACATGTTTAACTCCTTAGTACCAAAATTACAAACCACATCAGGCGGCCAGCTGCTCTGAGGAAAGAGAATTAGGTCAGATGGTATAAAGCCTGCCCCCGTTGAAGATAATCCTCTCTCTTTTAAGCATCTCTTCTTTAAAAAAACTTTCTTTTTAAAATCAAGTGATATAAGTTGTAAAATAAAGAACATTTTGTAAAATTAAACCAATCATTTGAAGGTAGGTAAACAAAATAAAATTCTTACATGTTTCATTGTACCAGTTTTAACCAATGGCTGTAAAATCTGGTATGCCGCATAAATGTGGTTCTACCGAAGAATGCTGAAAATTAGAACAAATCTTTGAAAAGCCAATATGAGTAATTGTAATGCGTTTTGCAAGAAACTAGGCAGCCTAGGGCATTTTGTTTTTACAAATATTAGATAAAACAGTCAACATTGTTACTAATAGCTATGGTTTAAAAAAAATTAAGGTTGATGTTAAATTGACAGTTAGGGCCATTATGTGAAATTACAGTTTAGACATAAGGTTACTTCTTTCTCCACAGGTCAGAGATGGAGAAATAAGGTCATGCAGCTGAAAGAGGCTTCAGAATCCCATGGAAGTAGCCAGTATCTAGGCTATGCAAACAATGCGTTTCACCCAAGCGGTTACTTCCACACAAGCCAGTCTACTCAACTTCGTAAATGGCCAGGGATGTTTGGTGCAAGCCAGCGAAGGGATGTCAGTTTAAGAAAATCTAACAACTTTCAGCACAAACCTAGGATCATCACTATTGTCAGAAATGGTATCAACCCCAAACAACATGTCAAGATTCTTCTAAACCATCAAGCCATGCAATCCTATGAGCAACTACTGGCTGATATTTCTGGTGCTTTTTTACCTCATTTGAAAAACTATAATATCCAAAGATTATTTACTGTACGCGGGAAAGAAGTTGCTGGAATTTCTGATTTCTTCAGAGAGGATGATATTTTTATAGCCCAAGTGTCAGGAGAACCGGATTTGAAAAAAAATGAAGTAATTAGTATTTTGGAAGAAATATTTCCAGATTCAAATGTTGTCAAACTGTTGCTTCGGGACTGGAGGAAAAATCAAAGAAATAGCAAAAACAGTTGCCATGAAAGTTGGGGTAGAACTTTAAACAGAGACTATAATTTAGTGGCTGCAAATCAGAAAGTCACTGCTGTTGATTGTTCTGTGCAGGAAAAGCGTGACAGTGGATTTGATTCTGGTGACAGCACCATGAATTGGCCAGAATCTGACCATGCTGAAAGACCAAATATTTTAAGACCTCGAAAGAGACTGGGCAGAAAAATGGGCAGAGAGAGTAAAAGAGAAGGAAGAAAGCATGGAAATAGCCATCAGGATGTTGCTTCAAGTGTTAATGGTCAGAGACGGATTGAAAAAATGAGAAATGAAGATTTTAATACAGACAAAGAACATGTAAGGAATCAGAAAGACGTGAAACATGAAACTGTCATGAAAAAGGTGGATGATACTGACAAGAGAAATAGTTTGATTTCTTTCAATAAAATAAATAATAATTTGAAATTAATTGATGACTCAGGGATTACCAATGACAGAAAGTTAAAATCAGAGAGAGAAAGAATAAAAGAAAAGTTAGAAATGGAGAGACTTCAGAAGGAAAAAGAAGAAAGAGAAAATGCAGAAAAGGCAGCAAGGCAAAGAAAGGCAGAGGCAGAAAAAGAGAAACACGAAGAAGAAACATCAGAGAAGGAGTTGTTAATGAGGGCAACAAGAGAAACACATACTACTGAATGTGTTCCACATACAAATGACCTAGAGCTTGGTGTTCTAAAAACTGTACGTAGCTCAGTGCTTGGTCCCCAGAAATTTTCAGATACATTTACAATAAATCAGTCTGTTGAAACATCAGTCAATAAAAACAATCTGCCTTTATGTGAATCTGTACACAACGTTAGAGCTGAAGCTACAATACAGGCTAATATAAATGATCAAACTGATTTTAAACAATCCAAAAAACATGCAAAGCAGGATACAGATGGAGCTCAGGGAAGAAAGCAAAGGAAAAATAAAGTTATTCGTAAAACCAAAGAAGAAAGATTTGTTAGCAATGATTACTTGGTCACGACACAGTATGAACTTGGACGGAAATTGGGTGATGGAAATTTTGCAAATGTTTACCAGTCTCGGAAGACTGGAACTGGCAGAGAATTTGCTATCAAGGTCATAGGCAAATCGAAGCTGAAGGGAAAGGAGTACATGGTGGAGGATGAGATCCGGATCATGAAGGACTGTCGGCACCACAATATCATCAGACTGTACGAGGAGTTTGAGACTCCGTGCTGGATCTACCTGGTCATGGAGTTGGTCAAGGTGAGTTTGTGTGTTGAGGAGGATAATCAGCTTCTTCCAGAGTGCTGATTTTATTCTTACAGAATGTATGATCCTTTGTCTTAACCCCCTTCAAAGTACTAGTTCTATTCCAACAGAACTGGCAGTCATATGTTTAAAACCCCTTCAATGCAGGGATTTTTTTCATTGAGCTAGGCTTCCAGTTTGTAAGGTTTGAAATGGGCACCAGAGAACATTCTGGGAAGTAAATGTGGCCAAAATGAAGGTGATCATATCCTCCACAGAGTTTGTTTGATCTGAAGGTATGGGATGGGTATCATCTACCAAGAAAGCCTCATGGTATTAAAAGGGTTCTGTTTTTAACTGACTTTTCACACTCTTTAAAAGGTGAGTACTACTTTTCTAAGTGGTTGTTTCAAATATGTCTTGTGTTAATAGATTGTGTCACATACATACTTGTGTTACTAAGATATTGTTTCAGATATGGAAATATGATAAGAAATTGTTGCCCATATATACTTATGTTACTAAGAGATTGTTTCAGATATGGAAATACAAGAAGGGAGGAGGTTAGGGCGTGGATGGTAGAAAACCCTGCTGATACTAATCAATGAACCTGAGCCCGAACCAACCTTATACTCTAGAAAGAGAAAAATCAACAAGATAATTATACAGAAACATATAATACCACATTGTAGTTTTTAGCTTGTCTGATACGACAGCTTCTGCAGCGTAATTTATTCCAAATGTATTGGTAATACCTTTCCATTGGAGTAAACAAAGCAGGCTGAGAGAGGGATCATGATGCATGGACAGCGTAGTCTCCAAATGAGGCTTAATGCTACGGAAAGCTCCTGTAATCCTATGCTGTAATTGGGGAAGACTTCCTAATACGGGCAGGTCTTTCTAATCACACTCACCATTGCCATGGGCTGTAATTCCCACACTTGCTTATATCAGAAAATATCACTATCATCTGATAAGACGGAAAGGTGCCAGTGAGAGTTAAATAGAAACCTCACTTAAGAATCCAGTAAGTATGTCTACACATCAGGATACCAGAGGTACATTAAACAAGCCATTATGTCTAAGCACTGAGTTACAGCCAGTTGACAATAAGGTACTAACATTCATGGAAACACCATTTCAGACATAAGCTTTGTCCAACTAGAGCTCTGCAGGACAGTCACTGAAGGGTTGGTACTGCAGTGCCAGTTGGGGAGAAAAGTGCCTCATCTACCTCTCTGTTTTGCAGCCCTTTTCCAGGTTAAAACGAGATGCCACTAATTTAAGTAAAGTAAAGTAAAGAACCCTCTTCCATGTCTTCAGGTGTATTGGGCAACTGATGCATCAGACTGAACTCAAAACATCAGGTTGAAATGATCTGCCACTAGTGTACCAGACTTACACTTAAGCTCAGTTTTCAAGAGAATCACCAACAAGTGAACACAGCAAGCTACTAACCAGCTCACCCACCAAGAGACTCATCCACCAAGAGACTCATCCACCAGTAACCCCTACATCAGTTAGTCAACCACCCCATCAACTAATCACTCATATTATCAACCAACCAGCAAACCAATCAATCTCTTAGCCAACCAATCAACTGACCAGCCACATAACAAATGGTGCAGCCAGTCAACCCACAAACCAAAGAGACACTTAGTACTTCTACACACAGTATGATAGCTGACACAAGGAAACATAAAGCACTTCTACACACCCCCCTCATCTCTCTCCCTGTGAGCTCCAAAGCCCCATTTTAGGTAGAAAAAAAATAGCCTACCTGAACCTGAACAATCATGTCATACAAGGCTATATATTATAGGATCTGCTGAAATTGAAGCCCTAGACCAAAAGCAGCAGATATCACAGCTTAGCTTTAAACCACAACACAGTGCAAACCAACTTGAAAAAAAAAAAATTGGGGTGAACATTGGAAAAAAAAATTAATAAATTGTGTACACAAAGTAGAAGTGAAACAAGTAGGCAGGACAATAAGATATTTCTCTCTTCCAGGGTAGAAGAGCTCTGACCATGAATGTATAGTATCAATAGTTTCCTTGTCATGTTAAAACATGCCAGATACCAGTTTCATTCTTCAGCCTGCAATATTTTAGGGCGGTGACTTGTTTGATGCAATCAGCCAGAGTGTCAAATTTGCTGAGGTTGACTCAGCTCTGATGATCAAGGATTTATGTCATGCACTATTTTATTTGCATTCTCGAAGAATCGTACACCGAGACATCAAACCTGAAAACTTGCTGGTGAGCACTATAATTGAGCTGTGTGTGTGTGTGCGTGTGTGTGTGCGCATGCGTGCGTGTGTGTGTGCATGCGTGCATGTGTGTGCGTGTGTTAAAGGGCGTACAAATTAATGACTGCATTACAAAATGTCATGATCCTCGAGTAGTAGGTTCAATGTTTTTGGCACACTGTTTATTGAAAACATAACTCTCATGGCTTTCAGCCAGTAGTAAGAGAGTTGCACTGTAGCAGAGATTAGGGCTTCACCATGTAATATTCCTGAGGACAGCAGTGAGTAAATACTCAGTAGCCCACTTTCATTGAGGATTCACATTTCAAATTATATTAAAAAACACAATTTTCATAAAATAATAATAATCATATTTCTATAAGTATAATAAAATGTAAATAATGTAATATATAAATAATATATAATATTATATTATATAATAAAATCTTTACATTACAACATATAACTTTAAGTTTTTTTAAATACACACACAATTAAAAAATATTTGAATTTATTCTTTCTTCTCACTTGTCCATTTGTATAATATGTTTATTCTTCTGCCATTTATCTCCCCATGGAGCACTGACCCTCGTCCAGCATTTATCAAGCTCCCTGCAGATGTTTACAGTACTGGTTGGATTTGTCATTTTTGTGGAATGAGATAGCCATTTCATGTAAACCTTCCTTAGTGACCTCTTAGGCCATGCGTGGTTGTGTGCAGTGTTATTATTCTTTACTTCCCACATGAGCCAGATAACAAACTGGGGAAGGGCATTAGTTCGTTATGTCATATTTACACCTTGAAGTGGTTTTCAAGTTGTTCCTATATTGGTACCAGGAAGAAGTTTCGACTATTTCAGTACTAGGGAATTTACTAAATGTTCATTTATTACTCTTTAGTACATTTCCTGTCCCATTCTTCTGTTATATTGAGCCTTACATATTAGTTGCTGCTATAATAACTTTTGTCCTAAAGTAATTTTTTATACTCCAGATTTATTGGAGTAAAATTGTGTTGTTTTAAGACAAGAACTATAGCATAGACATTGCTGAATTAAAAACCAGCTTGGACTAAGAGAGTTAACATTAACCTCACTCCTACAGGTGCAAACCTTTTTTTGCAACTCATTCAAACACTCAGTGTTCAAGTACTGGAGTTGTTAAAAGAAATCATAGTCTTTCACACAGTTCGTAACCAGTCTACCAAGCAACTAGCACTTTCGGCTAACTCGTTCTGTTTCAGTAGACCATTCGATGTCTGTGTAAAAGTCAGTGGCAGGTCAGGTCTTGGTCAGATATGACTGAGCTAATGTATAACAGTAGCCGGTACCACCTGTTACGCCGAATGATGGGCGGCGTATACTAACCCAACATCCCATATTGTGCCAACGGCTTCGGGCGGAGGAGCTCGTTGGGGAGGATACTAGCCTTATGCTAGGAAGAGGAAATGCAACCTCAAAACTTTGTGTTATGGCAGGGCAGACCAGGCCCTTCGCCTTGGCTGGCAGCTGGTCTAAGAGGGAAGCTCTGACAGGCGGACAGATAGAGCACTGCTCTTCTGATCAGGCAGCTTCTGCAACCTGCCTTGTTCCAAACGTACTGGTTTTACCTTTCCTTTGGAGTAAACAAAGCTGGTCGAGGAAGGGATTATTATGCATGGGCAACATATGGTCTCTACAATACTGCCCAGGCTTTGTGCTATTAAGAGGAGGAACTTCCTCCCTGGCCCTAATCAGTCTCAGAAACACCTGAAATCCTATGCTATCATTGTGGAAGACTTTTTTTGACATGGGCGGGTCTTGCTAGTCACACTCGCCATCACCCCGGGCTGTGAGTCTCATGTCTTCTCATAGCACAATATAACACTATCATCTGGAAAGACAGAAAGGTGCCAATGAAAAGTCAGTGGCTAAACATGCAGGTTATCTGGCTCAAAGTTAAAAGGTTGATTCAGATGAGATGAGACACCCAGAAAGCTAGGAAATGAATGTTGATGAGAGAGGCTAAAGGTACTAGCTACATTAGATGCATAAAGCAGCCATCATTAGTGCTGTCACAAACAGTCCAGCAATAGAATTGCAGTTCTTCACTGGTGTAAGCAACAGTTACAACAAATCAGTTGTTGCACAAGCAATCAATTGTATAAGGTGTCATCAGTTCTGTGGACTGGCATACAGTTGTTTTTTAGTATGTAGAACTTCACCACAGTTTAGTTTTAACCCTGCCTTTAACCTTCCACTGAAGAAATTATTGGACATCTTATTTTTCTCTTCATAGAATCAAAATAATTTTGTGTGTGTATATTTTTCAGGTTCATAGAAACAAAGATGGTAGTGTGACCTTGAAACTTGCAGACTTTGGTTTGGCCATGGAGGTGAAAGGGTTAATTTATGCAGTCTGTGGAACTCCGACGTATGTGGCACCAGAGATTCTCAGTGAAACAGGTGGAGTAAGCAGTAATATCCATACAGCAATGCTATGGTTGTATTAATGATGATGATACTATTCCTCTTTACTTTCTCCTCTACCACTTTGGGTGTCGAGGAAGATGGTACAGTTCCGCTTTAAGCTCTTCTGATCTTTCCGACTGTGATCTATGTCCTTCTCCATTTTTGATGTAAGCCTAGTTTGGTATGGTTTCACAAGGCATTCTCTCTCATTTAGAAAACTATTTAATTTCGGTCTTTGTATGTAATTCAGGACTGGTTCTGTGCTGACTTTTTGTGTGTGTGTGTGTGTGTGACTGATGATATCAACTAAGATAATAGGACTATTACTGATATTAATAATTACATTATTGATTATGATCTTCTTCTTCATCATTCAGTGCCCAGAAGGATCATTTCTCCATTCATCTTTGTGACTAAACCTAATTGCCCCCTATAACCTGAGCTCCTGGGCATTAACGCGAAAAAGCCAACATGATGTACAGAAATATTAGTTACATGCAAACAAGTGGCTAGAATAAGATAAAACTTGGAGACATTGTAGAATATAGGCTTACCTTCTATCTAGCGCTAATATTCCACCTTTGTGTGCCAATCCACTTAGGAGGATCAGCCTTGTTTCACAAAGTGAACACCAGATGTTGCTGTTTGAGAGACACGCCCCCTTCTCCTACTTTCAATCTATTTCTAGATTTATAAGCACTTCGAAAATTATAAATCTAGAAATAGATTGAAAGTAGGAGAAGGGGGCGTGTCCCTCAAACAGCAACATCTGGTGTTCACTTTGTTCATCAGCTGCTCATTTCATTGTGAATTTTCAGAATTTCTTTTACGTAAAACAACACAAATTTTATCCAAACAGGTGCGGGCGGACATCTGAGAAGACTATCCACGAGGTCTGATTATGATTGGCTAGTTATTTTTAGTTTGTGATGCATCTTTTTCATGTACTACGCAAATTGCCGAAAACTAGAGACAGTGGTATAGCGTCAGGTTAAGAAATTCCCTAAAAATCAGGTCAGCAGTCTGGTAGGGTTAACTGCCACAGAAAAATATACTGACATTCTAAAAAATTTGAATATCAAGTAAGATTGTCTAATAAACAGCATCTTGTCCTGGAAGCTGAAATATTAGGCTATATCAAGCGACACAGGGGATTGGAAAAAATAATAGCTAAGGCATGGTGCCAGGAAGGAAGGGCAGGGGCCCACCATCGCGAAGATCGGTACAAGATATAACTGACTCATTGAATAAGAAAGGGCACGCGGGGAAAGAGTTTAATTTATGCTGACCATAATAACATCAACACTCTTCAAATGATCGGCTGCATGATGATGATTATCTGCCATTCTCTCCATAAGCCTCAATTATTTAGTCTATTAACCCTCATAAAGCCAGTAATTAGTGGGGATTTAAACAGATTATCAATTTCATTGTTGCTTCCCACTCACCATTTTGTATACAATAATGATGACAGTATTAGTAAAGATAATAACAATATTGAAAATCATATTAGTGATAACAGTGGAATGATCATGATAATAGCAATGTTAATGATATCTGCATTGAGTCAGATTTTTTTTTTAACCTTTGCTCCTAAGTCGACCCAGTCTAAAATGGGTAGCAGGTAAAGTCCTGGAAAGAAAAGGCTACTAGCAGGATGGTAACCACGTCACCCACAAAGTGGCGATTGGTCTATAAAAAACACGTCTAGCACTAAATACTTAATACTGGAGAACAAAAACAGATGGACGAACAACAGTCTGGCAGAGTGTTGAATGTTGAATTAGGAATTGACATCTTAGTACTTGGTACACTCGGATAAGCACTCTGTCCCCATCTTCAGCAGCAAACATAAAGGTCCAGTTTTGTTGGCACCAGTAACTGTCTGATTGTATGTTCCTCTGGCCTTTCCCTCGAGTGTTGAGTGTCCGCCAGATCCCCTGATATCTCCCCACAGTGCCATTCTCCTCAGACAGTAAGGACTGATTCATATGTATCTCCCCACAGTGCCATTCTCCTCAGACAGTAAGGACTGATTCATGTGTATCTCCACACAGTGTCATTCTCCTCAGACAGTAAGGACTGATTCATGTGTATCTCCCCACAGTGTCATTCTCCTTAGACAGTAAGGACTTATTCATGTGTGCCTCCCAACAGTGTCATTCTCCTCAGACAGTAAGGACTGATTCATGTGTATCTCCCCACAAAGTCATTCTCCTCAGACAGTAAGGACTGATTCATGTGTGCCTCCCCACAATGCCATTCTCTCAGACAGTAAGGACTGATTCATGTGTATCTCCCCACAAAGTTATTCTCCTCAGACAGTAAGGACTGATTCATGTGTGCCTCCACACAGTGTCATTCTCCTCAGACAGTAAGGACTGATTCATGTGTGCCTCCACACTGTGTCATTCTCCTCAGACAGTAAGGACTGATTCATGTGTGCCTCCACACTGTGTCATTCTCCTCAGACAGTAAGGACTGATTCATGTGTATCTCCACACTGTGCCATTCTCCTCAGACAGTAAGGACTGATTCATGTGTACCTCCCCACAGTGCCATTCTCCTCAGACAGTAAGGACTGATTCATGTGTGCCTCCCCACAGTGTCATTCTCTCAGACAGTAAGGACTGATTCATGTGTGCCTTCCCACAGTGTCATTCTCCTCAGACAGTAAGGACTGATTCATGTGTATCTCCACACTGTGCCATTCTCCTCAGACAGTAAGGACTGATTCATGTGTACCTCCCCACAGTGCCATTCTCCTCAGACAGTAAGGACTGATTCATGTGTGCCTCCACACTGTGTCATTCTTCTCAGACAGTAAGGACTGATTCATGTGTACCTCCCCACAGTGCCATTCTCCTCAGACAGTAAGGACTCATTCATGTGTACCTCCCCACAGTGCCATTCTCCTCAGACAGTAAGGACTGATTCATGTGTATCTCCCCACAGTGCCATTCTCCTCAGACAGTAAGGACTGATTCATGTGTGCCTCCACAGTGTCATTCTCCTCAGACAGTAAGGACTGATTCATGTGTACCTCCCCACAGTGTCATTCTCCTCAGACAGTAAGGACTGTTTCATGTGTAGCTCCCCACAGTGTCATTCTCCTCAGACAGTAAGGACTGATTCATATGTGCCTCCTGACTGTTTACACGCTCCCAAAGGAGTCCTCACAACACTTAGCTTTTCATACATTCTGGGAGGGTATCCAGGCACAACCAAGACAAGAGAAAGAGCAGGGTAGAGATCAGTTGCAGTTAACCTTCATTGAGGAAAGGGCACCTAATTTATGGATGATCTAAGCCCGTCTCTCTAGCGTAGTTGGCTAAACCGAATTGCGCGGTGAGCGGGTGACGAACTCCTTGTGGTCCGGGTTCACTCCCGGGGGTGGGCAGAAAAGCCACATTTTCTCCCAGATTTACGGTATTTAAAATGGAATCAATGCCGAAAGGTTGCGATATCCATAATACCGAGCCTAAGGGTTAACAACTCATGGCTTCTGGATACTAAAACAAACAATGGATGATCTAAGGCACGGAGAAGTGTCCTTTTATTAATTAATGATGACAGCTGTGATAATATATTCTCTGGTGTCTAGGTTATGGCCTGGAGATTGACATGTGGGCTGTTGGAATCATCACTTACATCTTACTGTGTGGATTCCCACCATTTCGATCAACAGAAAAGAACACGAACCAGTCCCAGCTGTTTGAATCTATCAAAGCAGGACATTTTGAGTTCTTGTCCCCATTCTGGGACCATGTGTCCGCAGGTGGGTCTTTACTTAATCCACGCTACATTGTACTCAACAAGATAGAATTGTAGTGTTGTACTTCTGCCTCTTCTTCTGTGTTCATCCTTGAAAAAGCCAATTGTCATGTTGTGTTTGTTGTTATCACTTTTCATCCACACTTTCAGATTCAGCAAATTACTAATTTGTTGCTTTACATGGGAAAGGGGGGGGGCACTTTGAAATATCAGCGCCATTGTCAACACAGTTGGTAGATTGGTGAAAACTTATTTGGAAGCTGCGCAGATGTGGTTTTATAACCAAATGATGAGAATATCCTGGACAGATAAAAAGAGTAATGAAGAAGTCTTGAAAGAAACTGACTTACAAAGAGAAGTGATTGCCCACATCAGAAAGTGACAATCAACATTCTTTGGTCATGTGATGAGATGAAGAAAACTGGAGTACATACTCACAGAAGGAAAGTTGGAGGGGAGAAAAGGCAGATGGAGACAGAAAAGATGCCTGACAGTCTGACATCATGGCAAGGAAGATCATCTATGTCAGAGTTGACTGAAGGTACACCAGACAGAAGGTTGTGGATAGACATGACTACCAATGCCACACAGCATGGACTTTAGGAGAAAGAAGATCATGAACACTTCATATATCAGCCCCCACCATGAATATTTTGAAATATTGTTTGAAATATAAATATATATATATTTTTATTATATAAAAATCAATTACAATTATGCTTTCCTAATGAACTGTTTTTATTGGCACTTCTACAGACGCTACAGATCTGATCAACCACCTCCTGATTGTTGATAAAACTAAAACGGTTCACAGCCATTGATGTGCTCACACACGTGTGGATTGTGAGTAATGGACAGACAAGCAAAGTGCCCAATCAATGCTTGTTTGTTGACAATTTGGATCTGCATCTACACCACCGTTTGGAAGAGACAGCCGAGTTGAACTACCAGACGTATCAGATATTGAAAGAAAAGAGAAGACGGGAGAAGAATTGACTTTCCTCTTTAATTTAATTTTAATGTAATAATTTATTTGTTTTAAATAACAAGAAGATCAAAAACATGTTATGTTATGTTACCACAATCGACGTCACTGCACATTGGGCATTCTCATGCATGCTCAGTCCTCTGATGCAGCAGCCACTCCAAGATACTTCTACCAATTCTTCTTCTTCTTCGTGTTTACCAGCTGTACTCTGGTGGAAAGTTCTGGTTGTTCGTCCACTTCTAAATTGCAGTCCTGCTCCAAAATCTGAGTGTTGCGTGTGCATCAGTTTTAGAGATCTGATTCCCTTGAGTGCAAACTGCTGGTTCCTTGAATCTCAGGCAGACACACTCCGACTTCAAAGGAAGCTCCCCACTTAGTCGACTCTTACAACATGCTTTTGGGAAGGCAGAGGGTCAATTCTTTCTTGTTTTTCCCACAACGGGGCCCCAGAACCCACACATGAGAAGCTGGTTACATTGTCTCCTATCCCGGCCTCAAAGACGGCATAGACGTGTTTAACCATGCTTGACTCCCATAGGGACTTCTACCGATTGTTCCCATGAGAAGCTGGTTACATTGTCTCCTATCTCGGCCTCAAAGACGGCATAGACGTGCTTAACCATGTTTGACTCCCATAGGGACTACCACCGATTGTTCCCATGAGAAGCTGGTTACATTGTCTCCTATCTCGGCCTCAAAGACGGCATAGACGTGCTTCACCATGCTTTACTCCTATGTCATGCAATTGTGCTAGTGTCAGAGACTTGTCATTATCCAAATGAAACAGGTGAAACAATTCAGAAAACAATACAACAATCTGAGAGGTAAACCAACATGGGACATGAAACGAAAATTGGACCAATCAAATACACAAGCAAATGAAGAAAATTACAATTTTAGAAGTAAACTAACACAGGACAAATACATGGGACAAATCAAATACATATAACTTAGGAAATGAAGAAAATTACAATTTTAGAAGTAAACTAACACAGGACAAATACATGGGACAAATCAAATACATATAACTTAGGAAATGAAGAAAATTACAATTTTAGAAGTAAACTAACTCAGGACAAATACACGGGACAAATCTAATACATATAACTTAGAAAATGAAGAAAATTACAATTTTAGAAGTAAACTAACACAGGACAAATACATGGGACAAATCTAATACATATAACTTAGGAAATGAAGAAAACGAAACAACAATTCAGAAGCTAACAACAGGGAAAAAAAATACATCAGAAATGCATAAACTAAAATCTGAGAAACTTAACATTGCAACAATAAAAGAACTGATTGCCCACATCAAGATGGGACAATCTACATGTTCTGGTTGTTCATGAGACAGAAAAAGCTGGAGTACATCGTGACATTGGGAAAGCTGGAGGAAAAAAGAAGGAAATATGAGACAGAAAGAGTAGATGCTGGACAGTCTGACATCATGGCATGGAAGATCTTCTGTGTCAGAGTTGATTGAAAGTGCTGGAGACAGAAAGTTGTGGATAGACTGATTGCCAACACCACAAGTTGACTATGAGAAGAAGAAATTGTGGAAATTTTATAATTATTCAAAAAATTAGGAAAGGTAGAAATCTAACGTGAGGTTATGCAGTTATCATTCATAGACCAGACAAAACAAAACACAGGTAGACAGTGGGGTTGTTATCACACACAGACCAGACTAAACAAATCACAGGTAGACAGTGGAATTATTATCACACAGGCAGGCAAACATACACAAGACTGAACAAACTATAGTGGTGCAACTCAAAGTAAAACAGAAGCAAATATAAAAAAAAAAATTATATTTGTATGACGTACAATGATTTTAGATGTATTGTAATCAATGATGTATGTATATTAGTAAACTGTGTGCCTTTTGTTAATGTTAAAAAAAAAATATATATATATATATATATATATACACACACACTTCATCCTATTTAACATTAGTAGTGCACATTTGATCTGATGTCAAAATGTTGTTACTGTGTATGTTGTGCTAATACCCTTGGAGAATGTACACCACCACAGAACAAGAAGATAAAAACAATAATGGCTTTCTAATGCTTGCCTGCGGATCCAGAGGTTGTGGGTGTAGGTCCTGACGGAGCTTTTTTTGTTGTTGGGAGGGGACCAAATGACCTTGTCTCCCAGCTTGACCGATGCTTACTGAACACTCAGCTCTCAATACCACTGTTGAAACCAACGCAAAGCAGTCTGTCTCCAAATAACCTGCAGCTGGGATCAAACTCGGCACCCCAGAATTACAACAAAAAAGTACCCGCAAGGTCAATTTTAATAAAACAACGTTCTGCAATGTCAAAATTGCTTTGTATCCTAAATATATATATGATTGGCCTGTTCTTCTGTATGGGTGTGAATCCTAGATGATAATGAATGAAACTGGGAAAGCTGGATGTGGTGCAATGTTGTTGCAAGAATAACAATGTCTTAAGAAACAGAAAACAAATACTGAATTATCACAGTTGCAGGTACTGCACATTAAAATTGTAAGAAAAAACAAACGAATGACGAGCTGCCAGTATAAAAAGCATTAAACACTGAGAAAGAAGCAGACACAAGGTGAAACATTTAGACAAATGTTTAGAAATGATCAAGAACACTTGTAAAATCACTTATACAAACAGGCATTAAGCATTTATTTCAAAAAACGTAAAATGAACAAAAACCTGGCAAAATGATCTAGTATTTTTGTTTAAACTTTTGCTGAGAGACTGAGCACCCACAGTTGGCCCAGAGAGAATCAATGTCAATTCTTTGAACATGTAATACATTCAATAAACTGTAAATAAATATTTATAAGAAATGTCAAAAACATGTAAATGGCATTGACAAAACAACACTGTTTACATAAAGCAGCTTAACTGGTTAGTGTCAGTGATCATGTTTGTCCACAACATTTGGTCTCTAGAGTCATATGGTTAGTTACAGCTGTTACCTGGTTTAGTGGGAGCTCCTGTGTTGTAGCAGATGCTCATCTGCAGATAGGAAAGTCATGGGTTCGAGTCCCCACTGTACCAGCCTTTTTTTTTTTTAACCAAGTTTTGGTACGAAAGGCTTCAACAGGAGCAGTTCCCTAATGCTAGAAAAGTTGCCGTATTCATACTCACAACTTTCACTTGTCAATCAAGCTCCTTACACATGAATGTCATCAAGACAAACAGTCGGAACTCACTGAGCATGATAGGCTGCAGGACTGCATGAGAATTGCTCTAACACAGTGTTTCCTAAACTTGTCTTGGAGCAACTTTCTTCAACTACAATTTTTCCGCGGCGCCCTAACCCAAGTCAAAGTATGACTATTCGTATGTAGGAGATTAAAAAAATATAAAACTTGTGTATATTCAAATATTTCGCGGCGCCCCTGTAAAGAGGTCGCGGCTCCCCTGCGGCGCACAGTTTGGGAATCACTGTTCTAACATAACACCAGCTAAATTTGGTAAAATTAGCTCAAAAACAAAAATGCAGCATTTATACTTTTTCGGTTACTTCTGCAGAACATGAAACCAACTGTGGACAGTTATTATTATTATTGTGACAATGTAATGGAAGTGACAAAGGCAACATTTATTTATGATCCCAACGACAAGCTGGAAATACATGTATTTCATTTAAAATTTATCCCCGTGTGGGTTCCGGGGGCCTATTGTGGGGAAACGAGAAAAGACCCACTACCTACCCAACAGAATGTCGCAACAGTCGACTAATTGGGAGCTTCGTTCGAAGTCAGAGTACATCTGCCTATGAGCCAAGGAACCAATAGTCTGCATGCAAATGAGTAAGACATGTAAAATGAATGTGTACCCAACACTCAGTTTCTGGAACAGGACTAGAGTCCAGAAGTAGACGAAGATACAGGACTTTCCGCCAGAATTTGCAGCTAGTGAATACGAAAAAGAAGAATTAAAAGTGAGTATTAATTAATCATTACAGAAGATTGTAGTACACTTCACATTATAATGGTTTACAACACTGCTTCATTTATACAGGCTACGTCCTAGGCGTAATAGTTTTGGAGTGTAATAAATTTACAGACTGAAAATGTCAATTGTAGTGTGGGCTTGGGCCATTGGCCTGCGACGATCTCCATGTTCAACATTTTGGTCAGCGGGCAAACTTAGTTGAACAGCCCTGAACTAGACCTTCACATGTACGTGTGCTAGAATGAACAAGTTCCGCCCCTCAAACTTCTCTAGTAGTCAGCTTACACTGCTGAGCTAACACCAGGAGGACTCGACATCAAAGAATCAAAGTATCAAATTCTGCCACTATGGCTGTCTGCTGTGGTAAACTATCTATCTCGGCTCCAAAATGACTAAACACAGTGATCAAAACAAGGAATGTATTGCACAAGGTTTAAGAACACTGAGTATACACAACTCAACACAATAACAAAATCAATACCAGATAGTGAGAAGCACAATAATAATTGTCATATTGTTAATAACAGTCAACATAATCATCGACATTAGGAGGACAAGTGCCTTGAAGAGGTTTCCAGGAAGAAATATAAACTGAAAACGTGGTCTTATGGTGGGGCAGTCCGGGCCCTTAGCCGCTGGTTGGCAGCTGGTCTAGGAGGGGACCTTCGACAGGTGATCTGATAGAGCACTGCTCTTCTGTTGCAGAAGCTTCTGCAGCGTGCTTTGTTCCATACATATTAGGATTACCTTTCTTCTGGAGTAAACAATGCAGGCAAATGGAAAGATCACAATGCATGGGCAATACACGGTCTTTACAACACTGCCTAGCCTGTATGCTAGGGAGAGGAACACTGGTCTTAACTGATCATGGACAATGTGATCAGATCTTGCTAGTCACATTTGTCTATGTCATTCTTGTCTATGTCACACTTGTATATGTCACAGACTGTATAACACTATCATTTGGAAAGACAGAAAGGTGCTAACATAATCATAATGACCCTATCTGTCAACATCTCTGATGGAAGGCCTTAACTTTTACCCCCCATTTC